AAAAGTCTGTGCATCTTGTTCCAGGATTTCAGAACCAAGTTACCTGCTAAGAGTTGTCAACTTCATAAAATCCAGTAAGTCACGGTGTTTTGTAGAACCTCATGACTTTTATATAGCCTAAACCAAAATGGTAAATAATCAGGATACCCGTCATTGAATAAGCTTTGTGCTCAAATAATGTCCAGTTTTCCTTTGTCTACTTTTTATGAACGTTTGAGTTTGTTGGCATAGTTTACGTGAGAGCGGTTGCTATTCTTTTTTTGTTTAAAATTTTGCGCGGGTAATTTGCGCGCGGCCGCCTAAAAATGATCCCCTTGCTTGGGTGACTTGGGTGAACCTGTTGAGTTCCTGGCTCCCTCACCGTAAATATCATTCTACTCCCTAGAGCTGGAATGCACTTTGAGAGTGAAGTGTATTCAATGTATAAAAACAGAAACCAAGCACCTCGAAGACCCGTAACTTTAAGCGCTAATTCATCCCTTTGATTAATGCCTGCGAGGATAATTTTCATTCTGGCGAGGGCTCTTCAACAAAAAGCTAATGATGATAAACTTACTGAGAGCAAGCCAACTTTGCAGGCTCCGCATTTAAGACGCAGTCTCTCTAAAAGCGGCGGTGCGTTTGGGGTCGAACAATCGATTTCTTTCAAATTTATACGGCCAACTTATGTTTGACGAGTGAATTGAGTCCATAAAAGCTTTTTATAAAACTCGCAATATGATAAAACATCATTCAGTAAAGAAAAATCTTTATCTCCATCTAGAAAGATACAGCCGCCGAAAGTTGACTCTTAGCTCTAGGCGACCTATTGTTTTGTTTATCAATCAATTAATGAGGACGGGGAAAAAACTTCAGAGGCAGGATAGATATGACAAGATTCAGGTTTACAATAACACTAAGGTTCAAAGTCGAAGTTTTCGTATTCGTGGTACTTAAAGTTAAGTCATTTCCAGTTGATGTATGTGGCATGAAATAAATAATATTTTACCACGCGAACTAATTTATCTCAAGGTCCTTTCTTCTGAATTTATGAAACATCACTGACGAAGCTTCCCATCTGACTGCTTTCTCTTCGCAGAGAGTCGCGAAAAAAATCTCTGGATTTGAAGCTTTGAAAGCCACTCCATTCTACTAAACATTTTTGTGCCATCAGTGTTGCGAGCATTGCGCATATCGTTAGCTACTTGTGCAGGATCTTCCTTCCTCCCAGTACCACGAACTTTGTCAGAAAAGTGTGTTTGTCCGCCTTAAGGTTTGTGAAGCGCCCAACCCATTCGGAGCCAGTTTACCTCGGTTTTGGCTTCAATTTGAACTTCTTTCTGGAGGCGAGACTTTCTTTTGGAATCCAGTGAAATGCTCTGGAAACGCTACACCCAATCGATTTGTAACTGGTCATACACGCCCCTCTGTACCATCTTCACTGTGCTGTGATTTGCAGTCACATTTAGATGAGTTTTCAGCTCTGCACGACCAAGGAATTCCTTTGAGCACTGGGGATGGGGACATCTCTCGTACTATTTTCGTGCAGGTCTGATCCTGCAGAGCTTTATATGTTATACAGTTTCTAATCTTCTCTAGAGCTCTAATTCTGGACACCGCGGGAAAAAATTACCTTGATGTTTTGGCTCCTACATACTCCTATACATCTTTAAAATCTCTCTCGCAGTCATGTTTCGGGGTGTCACGCAACGTCCATTTTGCCGTGGGTCTGTTCAGTAATAGATCACTGATGAAGTCATAATGTGGTAAGAACAGAAAAACCGGCACACTAGCCGCAAGCGAATTTGTCACTGACGTTTCAACTGCTCTATGATGTCCTCTGTGATCTTTTAAGGAACAGACCCATTGTACCGTAGATTACATTTGTTTTATGTAATCGATATTAAGGTGGTTTTTTCATCTTTTAAAAAAGGCAATAGGTTTAGTGTGAAAGACCCTGTCCGTCGTGAGCTCCGTACGTGTGTGGTTTACAATTTTTTATGTGCGGGCTGTAATGTTTGCTATGTCAGCGAAACCTCTCGACATTTATCCACACGCGTACGTGAGCACTTGATCAGTGATAGGGCTTCTCACATTTTCAGCCATCCACACAATTCTCCACAATGGTGCAGTCATTGTTCTGATGAGTGTTTCAACATCCTAGATCACACTTCCACAACTTTTCAACTTGAAATCAAAGAAGCTATCCACATTCAACGGGAGAAACCTATTCTTAATCACCAATTTTATCATGTTAATTTAAAACTTTCCTTGTAAATGCATACATTGTTCTGTTACTATTGTTTGTTTTGTCCAATCAGCATTTTGTTACACACTATAAATTCAACTTTGTACTTTGTATTATTCAGAACTGAAGATGACAGAGGAACTGTCGAAACTTGTTTTTCAATTTTAAAAGTGTCGTTCAGTTTCTTATATTCGTTAAATATCTGTTTCTATCCAGACCTTTTGGCCAAGTTAGACGGGTCTCAAATCCATACGAGAGCAAACAGTGCCATGTTACGCATCGGCACTGTCGTCAACAAAATGATGCAAAATAATGGTGAAAGGGTCATTGTAAATTGTTTCGTGGTTTTGCTTAAGGTTTTTAGATGGAAAAAAAAAAATATTGGGAGAGCTTGTTGTTAATGAAATGCACATTTCAACTAAACATTTCGTTTAGTTGCTCGCGGCTGTCAGATGTAAAAATAGAATTTCGCCCATTGCCCACACCTTCAAAGCCCATGGTCTCCAACCATTTTATCCTATGGTTATTATTATTATGACTACTATTACATTAGTAGATATTTTTTTGAGTAAAGTTAATTTAGACGAGTCTCAAATCCACGCAAATGCTGTGTCACGAATAAAGTGATTATTCAACTTTCTGGCAAAAAGAACATTCAGCCTAACATTTCGTTTATTTGCTCGCGGCTTTCAGATGGAAAAAGGAATTTCGTTTCATTCTGGCAATTTATCACCTGAAAAATTGAAACAAAATATGGTAACTGAGACGAGGATAGTAATACAAAAGATAAAGAATGAGACGAGGATAAGTTTCAAACATACCGTGTAGAAGTTGAGGAATGGCACGTGACTGTGCAAAAACTTCCAAACCAACTCCTAACAAGTTAATCAACATCAAAATCACGCACTCGTGGTCTTTAAATAAAAAAGCAAACTAAGACAAGACAATCAGCTAGATAAGCAAGAGTTAGTCATATTTCTGTTCATCAGGTTTTAACTTGAGGATTGCGCGAATTAGTTAGACTATTTTTATGACACTTTTGGCGTCTTCTTTTGTAACGCGATCCTCATTTTCGTTTGTTTCACTCAGTGTAAATTGTCTTGCATCCGATTCTTTCTGACAAGGGGCTAAAACTCAAAACGTTCGTTTAGAATCTATTTTAGACGGCCAGTTAGTAAAAACACGGCTTACCGTTGATGAGGATACGGAAAGCTTTGCTCTTCAGCCATGTCTTTGACATAAGGGTTCCCTTGCCGGCCATTGCGGCGAAATTGGTTCGACGAAATGATGGATATCAGACGAGACAGAATAAGCTTCCGATTGAACGACACTTCCATTTACCGAAGCGATGCAAATTATGCTTCGATCAATTCGAAGCTTCAACATGCGCCTTAGGCAACTCTCCAGACACTTGAACTTTTGAAGATTGTTTTGTTCAATTGCCTCACCCAAGTCCTGGATTTGATCGTCATTTTTGATGTAAAAGGTAGGATAAATGAAAGTGACTTTCTTGGAGGGCTCCGCATCTAAGCCATCAAAGTGAACTTTTAACCTTAAAATAACTCCATATTAAAAGATATAACGCGTTCATTCAGCTAGAAAGAATAGAAAGACTTGAAAGTTCCGGTTCAAGTTTTCCATCCCACCCAGGCAAGGTTCAAAATCTCCACCCCCGCTCACGGAAGAGAGTCATATGTTCGAACAGAGTGTGGAGATCACATGAAAAAGCATGGCGTATGCGAAAGATCATTTTTTAAAAGGAGGGATGCGAGAGGGAAAATCTTGAACATTTTAAGTGTCAAGACGTGTCTTACATTAGTTGCCAAAGGTAAAGCATGTGATCTCCACACTCTGTAAGAACGCTGAGATTACCATCGTGCTCAGTTGTCACGACAACTAAATGTGTGACACAAAGCTCGCTGTTCGTAAGGGATGGGGTTGTGGTGGGGTAAGGTGGGGTCTCCTGGAGTCTTTGAACTCCTCTTTGAGGCAATATGTTAGGAAGAGACTGTAATAAAGTTATTTATCTTACATGGACTCAAACTAGTTTGTGCCGCTATCTCGAAAATCTGCCACTCCTCTTATTCGTTCCGCTTGTCCGAGAAGATCTAGATTTACAGCCAACGTTAATTTGACATGCTCATCGAAGGAGATCTAAATTTATACCCAATGTGAATGTTGACATGACAACCTGTTACTCTCTGATATCGAACCTTAAATTTGGACATAGCCAGGCTGCTGAACAGTTTCCCATTTCTGAATATACTGCTATCTTGCGTGCATTGCGTTGAGTAGTAAGTGGCGCACGTAAGTCGTTCCCAGGGCATCTCCATTGGTTTTTTACTTGAGATCAGTTGGGGGACAGACAGATAAGTGACGTTCACGTGAGAAAAATTTTGCCTTGTTTATTACATAAAACAAATGTAATCTACGTTACGGTGGGTCTGTTCATTAATAGATCACCAGAGGATGTCATAAAGCAGTTGGAACATCAGTGACATACGCGCCTGCGCCTAATGTGCAGATTTTTCTGTTCTTATAACATTATGACTTCATCAGTGATCTATTACTGAACAGACCCACGGCAAAATGGACGTTGCGTGACACCCCGAAACATGACAGCGAGAGAGATTTTAAAGATGGATAGGAGTATATAGGAGCCAAAATCGAGAAAATTATCCAATGTCATTCTTTTCCATGATGTACAAAATCAGATCTCTGAAGAAGATTATAAACTGTAAAACATCTAAAGCTCTGCAGGATCAGACCTGCGTGACAGTCGAGGTATTTTAACCTTAGACTGCATCTCACTTAATGTTCATAATTGAATCAAATTTGTCAAATCCTTTCACTTTTCCATCTTTCAAGAGCAAAACCTTCTCGCAGTCTTTTATCGTGTTTAAACGGTGAGCTATAGTGATGACTGTGGACTCCTTCAGTTTGTTCCGCACTACATTCCAAATCTTCTGCTCTGTCTTTGGGTCAACATGCGCAGTTGGCTCGTCCAAGACGACGATTTTACTTCGCTGTAGCAGCACACGAGCCAAGCAAATTAACTGCCGCTCTCCGACACTCACATTAGCGCCATGTTCCAGCAGTTCGTGATCCAGCTTGGCCTCAAGTGTCTTGACAAAGTCTTTCAGTTGCACATCTTCTAAAGCCTGCCATAATTCAGTGTCTTGAAATTTGTCAAAAATGTCGAGATTTTTCCTTAATGATCCGCTAAAAAGAACAGGACTTTGGCCTAGAACCGAGATACCTCGTCGAGCTTCTTGGAGGCCTATCTCTTTAATTGGGAAATCGTCGATGATTATCTCTCCATCAGCATCAGGCATGCGCATAAGAGCTGCTACAAAAGATGACTTCCCAGCTCCCGTACGGCCGGCAACTCCGATCTTTTCTCCTGCTTTGATGCCAAGATTGATGTTTTTCAGCACTTGAGGTCCTCCCGGATAGTACGTCAGTGATACATCTCTCAACACAATACATCCTCTCCAAGGCCAGTCTCTGGGTGTTCGTTCTTCCTCGTATCCAGGCTCCCGGTCAAGTTTGGTATAGGTCATAACTCGCTCAACTGACGTCATGTAGTTTTCCACTTCAGAGGATTTTCTAACAGCGTATTGAGTCGAGCTCAGAGTTTCGATGACATAAACAAGAGCGAGACCAGCGTAAGCTGAAAAAAAATTGAACCTTAATCTATCATTTCGGACTTGTTTTCTCTTGATAGCTCAAAACATATAACGAAAACTTCACAAGGCTAGGTTACCTAGCCTAGTCAAGGCAGTCACTTAATAGGAGGGAATAAATAACGTGTCTTTTTTACGTCTTTCTAAGTGTTGTTGTTTTGACTCCAAGCTAAGGAGGTACAGAGGAGTCATCGACACAAGTTTCTCTTTTAAATCATAGAAGACACTTCAAAGTTTGCTCAGCACGTATAGTCACACCTATTTTATAAAATTATTCAGTTGTTCATGCTATGTTAAAGAACGATTATATAAGTTCTTTTTTTACATAGAAAGACTCAAAAATGTTCCTAAGAATCTTGAGCTTACCGGCATCTTGAGATACCAAGATTGCAGCCACAGCGACTGCACCGACTAACAAGGAAGCGAGACAATCCAAACGTGCACCGAGCCACCTACCACTGGCCATCACCATAATGTACGCCTGATTATGAACATCTTGATATCTGAGGGGACGAGTTTTAATCATAATAAGTTTTAATAATGGAGTGATTTTTTAGTTGACTGTTGACAATAAACCGGATTGTATGAGCTTTGTATTACTTTGCTAAGTGATTGGTCCAGCAAAATTGCGCAAAACCAACCACCTATTAGTCGAACGCGTTTGTCAACGTTCAATGCCGTTTCCTCGTTTGGTCTGCACACTGAAGTGAGACCAGTGTCTCCTTTGGTCTGACAATGTAATGGAGTCCTTCAACAAATTTTGCCCGACACCCCACCCTCTCAAAATGATTTTACTCTCCAATCAACATTCGTAAGCCTCCAGCTAAATATCTGAAAGATCACTTCCGTAACCAGAGATGCTCCATTCGTCGAGATGAAGTGAGAGGCGTTAGCGCCAAATTTTTTAACGATATGGATACTCTTCCTTTAAAAATGGTAAATTCTCTAAAAACAACCAATTCTTAATTGTTCACTATCAGAACTATATCTCTTATTCTAAGTATAACATTTCTCAGAAGGAGAAGACGATTGGCACTTGTCTGTATTTCCTGTTAAACTCATAACGGGGTCCAATTCGGTCTGGAAAAATACGAAAGATTAACAAAGGACGACTGCGAAGCGGGACGAAATTGGACGACATGGCGTTCTCTTACCAATTAATCAAAACTATGACAAAATTGGAGAAAGAAACTAGACAACAGTTATACGTTTTCATAAAAAACGACGAAATTCCCGACAACAGCGCGCGCATAAATTTACACGCTGGCATGACTTGTCAACTGTCCTATCACATTGTCCAATTACAAGCATGACACTTACACTGTGCTATTATTCCCCTAATCGGGCTAATGATGACCAATCACGTTCGATAAATTTGCTACAGTTTTGACTAATCGTGAAATTTCTGCATTACGCGATCTTGTTGATTGACCGTTCGTACTATGGGTCTGTTGAAATCCTATCAGAAGAACCAGCAAGAACCGCACAGAGCAATTACTGTAGTCTCACCACTGGATAGCTTCGTTTCGCGACCGTGCATCGTACGGGAAGGTCCACTTGCTGACCAGTCTCTCAGTACATACCAGATAGGACTGCAAAAGACGCGTGATGCAATTGCGTGTATTGCCGGTAAATAAAAAATAAATAGCCAACAGAAAATAAGCAATCACGAGTCATTTGTCACCTGTGCATTTATTGGCTCTGGCACCACAACCTCAATCAATGTCTCTAACATACCTGTATAGTCCATCCACAAAATCTCTTTGTCTTCCTCTCGTACGAATCGTGTCCAGTCCTATCAGGGTCTCTGAAAAATGAGCAAACACTGGGCTTCGGGTTATCGACTCTAACCTTTTTAGTTCTCTGGCAGTCTTCAAGTAATAATTGGATAGAAAAACGACCAGCACGGAAATTGGAACAACAAGAAACATCAGCCAAACATTTGTGGCAACTGTTACCAGAATTTGGGCGAATATCACCAAAAGCATCTGCATTGCCGCCAGGAACGTTTTCGGTAACAATTCATCTACGCAGCCAATATCATTGGAGAAGCGATTTAGGATTCTTCCCACTGGATTTGAATCAAAGAACAGGACAGGTGCTTGTAAAATGGCCACAACCATTTCATCGTGGAGGCGCTCGGCGCACTTTAGACAAACATTTAAGAATCCATAAGCCCGAACGATAGTAAATATAAAACACGCGCCAACCAGACAGGCGAAGACAGACAGACAAGTCTTCTGATCCTCTGGGTTTAGCCTTGCAAGAAACGAGAGCCACAAGTCTGGAGCAACTATAATGGCTGAAAGAGATAAGATCAACATGTGGTGGTTGAAAGGTATTTCTATATGATCATTCAGTTAAACATTGCAAGATTTATTGGGCTTAGACACACCTGCCTGGGTTAGGTATTTTCGTTTGTATTATGGGGATGTTTATGTAAGCACCACAATGTCACAGAATAGATGCGTTTTGTGTAGGCAGTCAATCATGTTACACATTAATATTGCTAAAAAACTACATTTTGTCTCAGAAAGTTAGTTAGAAACGAGTTTTTTACCTTTTTTAGGGGAGTGGGGCAAGTGCAAGGCAAACGCGAGGAGCAAAACATCGGCTCTTTCTTCCGCGCGTGACTCGCCATTCACGTTCGACTCCCGCTTGCTTCGCGCTTGTACGAGCAAATGAGATATCGGGAACATGGTCAAAAATTTGTACAGTGTCTCTTAACTCTACCATAGAATTTAAAAACAACGCGTATTGTCAGTTTATAGCATAGCCATTGTGAAACGATTTGCATGAAATAGAATAAAAGAAGTAGAATAAAAGAATTATAGGCAAACGGTTGCTGTCCTCCCTTCTAGGGCCTGACCCAAGGTTTGTAACTCACTCTAACAATGAGTTTACCTTGAGTAATGAGACTTAAACCAACCATTCCAGTTATAATCAAGGGATGTGCTCCACTTCTGAAATAGTCCCAATAAAGCCTGGATGTCACAACTCCGATTACCCGATCCTCCTTTGCTATCTCCAAACTCCTCGCTTCATTGGGCAAAGCATGTGTTTTCTGGCATTTTTCAGCATCATCGTCTTCCTCCTTATCTTCCCAGCCGAACGGCTCAGGTGAGTCCGTTTTGTCCTTCAGAGCTGCTTTATAGAGCGGGTCAATAATTGAACTGATTACACCTTTGTCGTGCAGTTCAGTAAAGCGTCCCTTGTCGAGGACACGCCCTTTGTACAACACAATCACTTGATCAGCATTTTCCATGTGCTGTTGCTGATGAGAGGCAAACAGAACAATTTTATCGCCTAGTAGATCTTTGATGCACTTGTTAAAGATGTGTTGACTAACTTTAAAATCGACAGCACTCAGTGGATCATCCAGTAGATAAATGTCTCCGTCAGCATAAACTGCTCGCGCTAAACTTACTCTCGCCTGTTGCCCTCCACTCAGAACCTCGCCGCGTTCTCCAACAACTGTTTGATCACCACCAGGTAACCGCTTAAAGTCTTCTTTCAGAGTGCAGACGCCGATTATTCTTTCGTACTTGGACTCTTCGAGGGGCTGGCCAAACAGAATGTTTTCTTTTATCGTTCCCGAGAACACCCAAGCAGTCTGAGGCAAGTAAATAACAGAACCTTGATAATCAATCGTCCCACTGGCGTTCGCAATTTCACCAGCGATCGCTGAGAGTAGAGTAGACTTACCACTTCCAACCGGGCCGGTGATGACTGTTAAACTCTTTGAAGGTGCAAAGAAGTTGATATCCTCAAGAATAAATTCATCTTCACGATGCTTTTTTGCGCAGCTTAAATTTGACACACATAACATAGGAGGCGCTAATTCTGTTGATTCACGAGAGGAGAAAACTTTCTCATTATTTTCCTCTTTTTTTTTCAAGTAACTGCGACTTTGGCTACTTGGGGTACTTTTCGCATTTTGTTGGGGCTCGTTGTTTTCATCACTCTCCGAGGTATTTGACAGATTTTCCAAAAGAAGGAATTCTTCGATTCTTCCGAGCGAAACGTAGGCGTCATACGTTACCATTAAACCAGATGTCACATTCAACGTGCCACTCAATTTTAAAACACCCATAAAAGACAGGAGCATAAAAACATTGGCGGGTGTGAGGGTGTAGCCTGTAAGCACCATAGTAATTACTGACACCAGAGTGGCCAGTGGCGTTGCACTAAATGACAAGGCATCGATACTTGACTGAATGGCTGCTCTCTTCGAAATGACGCTTGTTTCATTTCTGAAGATAAAAGGTTATAATAAATTATGTGGGTATTCTTTCGAACAAACTCGACGTCAGTGTTCTCTCTAATTTGAAATATTAACGAGGTGAGCCGGCGGGAAGCGCACCCTTCCTCATCGTTCACTTCTTTGTTTAGGTGCGTCTTTTGCGACCCCACGACAGCGTATGAAAAAAAATACGAACTGAAGACAAGTTAGACTCAATGAGGTGTTCTACCTATAATAATGAGCGATGACTCGCTTTCGGACGGGAATCTCACGCGGGTCGCTCGGAGATGAATTGCAAGGGATATTCGGAGTTTGAGCAATCAGTAAGAGCGCTCTTCCACACTCTCTATTCAGTATATCCTGATATTTTTTAACTGAGCAGCCAATCCTCCGGTTATCAAATGGGTTACATGAGACACTTATTCTTTGTGAAGAGAGGCATTCTGATTGGCTCATACATCGGTTTAAAGATTCTTATTTTTTTTTCTTTGTGGGGAGGATAGGCATGTTTAAACTGCTTAGCCGGTTGATAAAGCTCTCAGTGGAGACAAAACAGATTTCTGGTTATCTATTTCCGACTTTTGAATAATGTGGATCACCAATTACGGGAATGAATAAAGCTAGTTGTTGAAGCCTTCTGAATAAAAATGATAATTACCTCACCTTCTTACATGTTTTATCTTTCGTCCATATTCCTCCTCCCACGCATGCATTTTGACCGCGCGGATCCCGGAAACTACTTGATTCATTAGGGAGATCCGCTGATCGGACACTGTAGCTGTGCGCAAGCGCAGCTTAGCATTAGCATAGGACAAGACAGCAAAGTATGGCATGAGAATACACAGGAGGAACACACCCGTAACAGCCTGCCAACCAATCAAATTGTAGATAAGGAATATTGCCCCTGCATAAGCAGGGACTGCGGAAACGGCTACGACAAAAAACTTGACTGTCTCTTCTTCCATTCTTTTAACATCATTGGATATCAGGTCGAATAACCGTCCTGCAGTGAATTTTAATAACCTCTGCTTGCTGAGAAGAAGCGTCTGAAAGAGAGTACAGATTAGACATTAAAGGAGAGTATTGCAATGTTTGTTGAATCTCCGAAATAAAGATATCCGTGGTTGCGTTTTGAGACGAGAGTATCCAAATCTTTACCAAATTATCTTTAAATGTGTCAAAAGAGCGACAACTCAGGCGCCATTTTGAATCTCGCTGAAAAGCACGGCCGTGTATGTTATGGTTTCTGTAGCCTGCTTCCCCATTAACTACTGGTTAATTCACTGTTTGTTTCTTCGATGTTTTTGTTGGTGAGCAGGATTGCTTGCTCTCGCAGAAGCAGCAACAAGCGACGATGTTTAATAACCCTTTACACCTGGGTCTCCATATGGCATAAGCTGATTGAAATCGATCAGATTTCTGGAAAAAATCGTTCTTTATCAGATGGATAAATGTTTTCGAGTTTGTTCAGCTTAATTTGGGTATTTAGAGAATTAGAAAAATCGGTTGAGCCTTCGAAAAATGCATAGAATACTTTTTAGAATCGTGCCTACCTTGTGGTACACCAGTCCCCTCAGGGCGCTTCCTATTTTGATCCCCAATATTTCACATCTGTAATCTTGCTGGTGCATACCAAGACCACCGATCAAACCATTAAGGCACATAGCTAATGCACAGGCGTAAAGCCGATACGTATTCTCTGTCTCAGTTGACATAAGCTTAGAAACAAGATACCCGAGAAACAGGGGAAGGAGAAGGCGAGAAGTTGTAAACAATATATTCCCCGTCAAAATGATGATAACATCTTTGATAGGAAGCATATGAAACACGCTTCTCCAAAGTTTGGGCCTTTTCCCATTCATCTTGCACTGATATTTCTCGCTTTCCCAGATCCTCTGAAGCTTGTCGGTGACAAAACGGCCAGAAGTCTCGTCTGACAAGGGTAAAAAGTCATTTTGATCCAAAGGTCTTTGACTGCCCTCCTTAAGGACTCCGTTCATCCAACGAAAAAAAAGAGAAGATACAAAACTGACTTTTTTATCTTCATCACCAGAGATTTTCCTGTAACCGCCTTTTGGTGCCATCACTTGAGACCTACAAAATACTTAGCCATTATTAGCATGTTCAACGCAATGGTCAGACGTCTTCGCACGATGTTCCAGTATTTTAGAACCAAGTTGCCTTCTAGGGGTTATAAACTTTCATAAAATCCAATAAGTCACGGTGTTTTGTAGAACCTCATGACTTTTATCTAGCCTAAAATGATATAGCCGAGCACAAAATGATAAATAATCAGGATACCCGTCATTGAGTAAGCTTTGTGCTCGAAAAGTGTCGAGATTTCTTTCCTCTACTCTTTATGAACGTTTAAGTATCTTGGCATAGTTTACGTGACAGCGGTTGCTACCCTTATTTTTGTTTGAAATTTTGGGCGGAATATTTGCACGCGGCTGGCCAAAATTGATCCCTTCGCTTGGGTGAGCCTGTTGAGTTCCAGGCCCCCTCTACATAGAGACCAAATAACGGGTGAACAATATCTTGCAATTATTCGATTGCAATTATTAAACGGCGTGGAGCCAACTTTTCATTCTGAATGGAGCTTCCAAAATTATTCGCCATCCCGTTTTCCTTCTTGCCTCCTATAAGCAAGAACTTGTCACATACATGACAAACTTATTAATCACAAAAATAAATCAATAAATGTAACCGATCAACGCGAACATAACCAGGAGAGGAGCGGACCAGAATTTTTGACTTTTTCTTAATGTAAAGTGCAAACGTTAAACTCTTCTGTTTTCTGTGTCGACGCCTGGTCTTCTAATTCTTCACCTTCGACCACGAGTTCGAATCACTTTTGACCTGAGAAGGCACAGGCATGGAATGGGTTTCATCGGTCATTTAACGTCCACCGAGACGTAAAATAAAATTTCGTAACCGAGAAAACGTTTTTTTTTTCTCAGGCTGAAAATAACCGCATAATAGTGCGTGATAGGTTATGAATGAATTTCTCAGTGTCTCGCGTACTGTAACATTTGAAATTCTCGAGCGGACAAAGCGTGGTCTGCACGGTCTGCGCGGTTTGCACAGTCTGCAGTCTGCAATCTGCGTTTTAGCATAACATCTCCTGTGATCTAGCCCACTCATTCAAAGCTTTTAGCAAAATTATAGCGGAGCTCGCAGAGCGTAGCCCCATAACTATACAAATTAGTAGTAACCCATCAAGCCGAAAAAATTTGGTTGTACGACCGTACGACCGTACGACCGTACAAGGTGCTACTTTTAGCATGCGCGACCAACTGTACCACGGGCACTATCTTAGCCATTACGTAATGGAAGGGCGAGGGAGAAGGTAATGCGCAGGCGCGATTGCGCGCGTAACTTGGATATCACATTAGTGTGCGCCAAGAGACACCGTCAGATGACGATAAAGTGCGCTCGAACGTCGAGCTGCAGTGTAGCTTACTGCGGGCACACGGTTAGGCATTGCACGATGGCTTCACGTGAGCTAGCAGATGAAATTTGCCACCCGCGTTTTGAGCGGGAAATCAAACTGGTCAGGATATGAATGAACAGTAATTCTCAGTATTTTGCAATTTCGAAACAACTCGTAAGATAACAATACCGGCAGAGTTTAAGCTTTGTCAACCGGAGGAAATTGTTATTATTCAAGTTCGTGGAGGGAGGGTTTTAATTGAAAATAGGCTGGATATAAAGAGACAGAGCGGGCAAAGAAAGCAACAAGTAAACGGCGTAAAGCGAGTCCAGAAAGAAAGTTACAAAGTACGCCAAAATAGGCAGAATACGGCGAGAGGGACACGAAAGAGAACAATAAAGGGCATAAGTAAAAAGGCGAGTTTCTAGCGAAGAGCAACGCGAGAAGGAAATACCAGGTCGCTTCTGAAAACAGACAGAAAAGAGGTCATCAACAAAGAGAAGCGAACTGCAAAGGATCCGCGAAAAAAGAGGAGGTAAGTCGTGTCCTATCTGGGTTTTCTCTTACGCTAAGACCCAGAAAAAAATTCATACTTTTTTTTAACCAATCGTCGTTTGATACTAGCTTCAGTTTTTAATTCAACTGATCACGTTTCGGTTAAACATTAACTCTGGCATTCATCGCCTAAAAACTCTTACGCCGGTTCATCGCTCGAATAATGTTGCAAAGTGTTCGTAATCTTCAAATTATTTCTTGTCCTTTCGTTTGAAAGTTTAATACAGTCGTGGTGTTATGGGAAAAGAAGTTATCTTAAGTATTTTGTTTTGCCTAGAAAGTTTTCAAATGATGTCGAACGGCGAGCGCAAGTTTCTACTTTTTTTCCTCTTCAGTTAATCATCGCAGGATTTACTCTATTCATTTGAAAAATTTGCGCTTTGCCGAAGATGTGTTGTTTTACCCTAAGAACGAATTAATGGCCTTCCCAGAATTTTTAAAATAAAATGGGATTGAGTCAGCGATGTTTATGTTTACATTAAGTCTAACGCGGTTATTTGATTTTTACGATATTGTCATGTGAGAACCCGCCAAACATTTGAGAATCAAATTACGAACCGCAAATGTGTGGTACAAACAAACTCACGGATAAAATGGAGATGGTTCTACAGCAGGATGAGTGAATTTAATTGTTTGGTTGTCGTTCTTTTCAGCGCTATGTTTTCATGCTCTCTACTCGATTCGTTCGAACTTCAGGAAATGGTTTGTGTCACAAAACATGGAGCCACTTTCTCTTCGCTCAACATCTCGAGGCGTTGTGATGAACATGCTTGCGATACGATAGTTTTTTTCCTTATGCTGGAAACTGAAGAATTAATCTCTAAAATTGGTATTCATCACATTTTGCAAGAAGCGT